TGGAAAAAAATATGTCGTCCAGATCGGCAGGAGCCTAAATGAGACTCCGAGGGCACAACAACAATGTGCATAAATCAGTACAAGGCGACCTAGGCTTGCATTGTCGAGATTGTGAACGGTAGCTGAAGTTCTGTGAAACCAAGGTGGTCGCTAGGGACAATAATCAAATGACACGCGAAATCAATCAGGCATTCGAGAAAATGACTGCTTCAGTATGGCTTCTTTGGGACTAACACAGAAAGAAATACAGTAAAACCTCAATATAACGAGCTCAGATATAACAAAGTATTGGTTATAACAAAGTAAATTAGAAGTAGTCATGCAATAAGTGTTAGGAATACACCTTTATAACAAGCTTATTTCCATGTAAGATGCAACTTTGTTTTAATGAGGTTTGAGTGTATAATGTATCTAATTCATAATACAGGGTGTGTAATAGCTGCGTGCTTCCATGGCATGAGTGGTTTTCGGTATTGTACTGTTGATATTTTTCACAAATCATTTTTTTCAAACATTTCATTGTAACCATGAAACACATTCGTATAAAAGCATCATGCGTTCGTCTAAAAAATTAAGCTGAACGTCTGCGCTTGTGCTCATGGAGTGCATCTCCCATGTCTTCATCTTTTAAGTGGTATGCAATATTATACAGTAAACCCTCTTTAACTCGAAGCCGTCAAATCTGGGGAAAATTTTGAGATAAGCGGTATTTCGAGTTATAAGCAAAACGCCGAAAATGTTTGCCCAAGTCACTGCAAAAGAAAACCCAGAGTTGTCGGGAAAATCCCCACTGCACGAGAGAGCTACTGTAGTAAAGGCACAAAAATTCGCAGGGAAAAAGAATTTATTAGCGAGGACCAAAAAACTGCATGATGCTCGCCTGTGTCGCATTCGCGTTCGATCCGAGAAAGGCGTTTTCCAGTTACTCAACACATCGCATGAGTCGTTGGTCGCCACTGCTGCATTCGAAATTGTTGCGGAGCAAGCACAGCATGCTACGTGTTTCTGTCATCGTAGGCACTTCTCGGGGCTCTTCCTCTTCTGAGTGGTCACCTGCATTATTCACTGCCATCTCAATGATATCCGCGTCCGACAGCACACCGATAATGGGGACGTTCACCCCATAGAGAGTGTACTCCTCAAAGACAATCTCGCCGTCTTCAGTATTGCTCACGCAGCCGATTGCCTTGTGCACTACACTGCACAGCTCATCACAGCTGCTAAATTCCCCACCAATGTCTTCTTCTATCGATGCCGGAGTGCGAGAAACCCCTGCATGAGCGAAGCAGTTGGCAATTGCCAGCGGGCGTAGTTGGCGCCAGGCTTCGACCATCAGACTGACTGCACCCAGCAGATTGATCTCATACTCCCCTTGTATCATCCTCCCCTTGTATGACAGAAGAATACGGTGCAGCAGGCTTTTCCTATAATATTTCTGGGCCATCTCAATGACTCCCTGATCCATAGGCTAGAGAACGGACGTCATACTTGGGGGGCAAGAACTGCAGCGTAACAGCCGCCAAGTTGTCGATTTTTCCATGACCGGGGCAGTTATCGACAACAAACAACACTTTCTGACCGTCCTTAGCCCTCTTCCGGTCAAATGCACAGACATACTCTTCGAAAAGTGCCGCGTCATCCAGGCCATTTTTTTGCACGGTAGGTCCCATCTCTCGGGAGCCGTGCATTTGGAAAACACCGGGGATTAAGCGATTTGCCAATTATGAGGAGCGGCAGCTTTTTATTGCCGGTAGCGTTGGCACCGAAAAGAATGATAATTCTGTCTTTGGGTTGCTTGGCGCCTGAGCACGCTTTGCTTTTTAATGTGTAAGTGCGGTTAGGCAACATCTTATAAAAGAGAGCAGCTTCATCGAGGTTGAAAATGTCCTTGTCTGCGTACTCATTTCGCAGTGCGTGGAGGCATAGGTTGCGCCATGCATCCGCAGCCTGTTCGTCGACAATGCTGTTTTCGCCGTGAAGAGGCTTCGATGACACGCTGTTTCTCTTTTTTAAACCTCTCGAACCAGGCATTGCTGCAGCTTAAGTTCGCGTGACCCATCTGCAGTGCCAAAGCATCTACTTTTTGCATTATTACTTGGGTTGTCATTGAAAGATTGGCTGCTCAAACTTTGTGGAGCGACAGCATAAGTGCTGCTTCGAGGTTCAGTAATTTGGAAGCTCGAACGTGCTTCCATTTGCTCAATAAGCTTTGCTCGAAGCCTTCCGAACAGTATGCTTGTTCTCAAGCACTGTAGAAAGGGTTGACAAAGGAATGCCAAATTCTTTGGCAATGCACGACTTGCTTTGACATGCTTTTTCCACTTCTTTGACTTTTTTCTCCAATGTTAGCGATTTGCACTGCTTTGGGCGGGACATCTTTGTCGATACTATTCAGAAGCGTCTGTTGCACAGGCCACGCACTGAAGATTCGTCGCACGCAAATCGCAGGGAACACAGACAGTCACCTCGCACACACAAGGGCTAGCTTACGTACTGACGGTGCTGATGGCGCACCGTGCGCTGCACACCGTGCAACAGTTGCGTGCTGGTGCACACACATGATCACTTCCATAGTTGCTTGACAAGGCGGAGAGCAAACGGATGCGTTGGCGGAAATTTCAAATTCACCCTTCACGACCGCATTCGGCACGTATAGCAAGAGCTAAGCGCTTGCACAACGCCCTCGCTTCCTGTTGGGAGTGGGCTCTGCCTTCTTCCCTCCCGGTCAAAATTCCGAGATGTACACTGTCCCCTCTGAAAAACGTTTCGAGATAAGAAGGGGCAAAAACATGGCTCCTATGGTGGGTTAATTAATACAAGATGAAAAAAAGTTTAAACTTAATCGAGATTTTGAGATATGCGAGTTCGAGTTAACGAGGGTTTACTGTAATAATAAAATTTTGACTGGTGAATTACAGTCAGTGCACGAAAACCACTCACCAATTAGCACGGGAAGACATTTAGTGCATTGCTGTTGCAAAACACCCAGAATGGGTAAAAATTCTCTATTCTCTAGCTGCACACTAGCAGCCTCAACACAAGAAGTACAAAACAGAAATAACACCCCCGATAATACTCTGGGCAGTATATGTACACATGTTATCTCGGCGCATGCGCAGCCAGCAGTAGCTTGAGAGCATGCATATGCCACCCGACTGACATCTCAACATGCACGTAAGAGTGAGGTGGTTTGTGAAATATTGTTGTCTTGTACATGCTCGTATATAGTATAGATGGGGCGATGCCTAATGGTCACCTACATGAACAGGCATGCGACGATCGAAATTCTTCCAGGAGCACCCTTGCCGTGCATTTTGCAGATTGCGTATGTTGACGTTCATTCGATTCGGGCAAAGTGATAGACCAGTACTCAGTGTTATGACCGTCATCAATACTGAAGTCTTTCAGCCTTTGTGGACTGGACAAAAATATTTCAACACATTCCAAGCAAGGATGTGTCGTCAAGATGGGTTGATTTCCTGTCAGCAAACCATTAATAAGGTGTTCCAGGACCGGTTCGCGAAAAGAAAACGCATGAGCCGAGAAAGGCCATTGTGAGCTAACTCTATGCAAGGCTTTCGAGGCAAACAAGGAAGCAGCTGGGCCATTTTCGAGGTCACCATGAATCTGGAAAGACCAGAACCAGCGTGGTATTTGCAGTTTGGGCTGAAAGCTAAAACCAAACTGGTTGTGGCTGCACCATGCGAGGAGAAGCGATGTCTCAGAAATTCGCAGCTACGCCGCACCTTCTAGCAAACAACGAGGAATAGAATGTGTGGTTGAAAGAAAGAAAAAAGGCACTATCTGCTGCAGCCCTTGCGGGAGCCCGCCTCAGCGCCCCGACAACGAGGGATCAGTTGACCACTCCTCCTTCCCTCTTTCTCCATAGGATCGGCTGAATGTTTTGATGGCATGTTTGATGGCATGTTTTGATGATAAATTGGCGGACCACTACATTGTCTTACCCGAACGCAGTCAGGCAAGTTTGGCACGTGTACCAGGAGCCGGTTTTTCGAACCTCACCCAACTGACAGAAAAGTTCTGCAAACCAAAGTCATCTAAGATCATCGGACGTGCGAAAAATATTGGAGACATGTGTGAAATGTCGGTGCAGTGCGTTTGTGACCACATTTGGGCATCATGTAGACTGTGCCTTGTCCACGTGCATTGTGTGGTATCTTTTCTCGCCTTCATGGGTGGAGCACCTAGATAGGCTGAAGCCGCGAACAATGCGCCCAGGATTGGCAACACGGCGCTATATAAGCGGAAGACTTTTGTATATTCAAAGTTTTACAGTTCAACAGTTCTCCCGCACAGTTCTTGACTTCTCGTTCTACTTTATCACTTGATCACCTCCTTTCAAATTCTCAGTTACTAACCATGTAAATTAAATTGTTGTCGTTCTTACGAGCGCCTCATCTGACTTGTTCGACCATGGTTCCTAGGACAGAGCCCACTACCAAACTGAGACCCGCAGGACCCGGAGTCGCAACACCAGGCAGGATGAGACTAGAACTTCGAAATGAGATCAAGAATGCGTCAGCCTGAGATCCCCGCCCTTTCACAGAAAGGAATCCTCATGTGCTTAGTGCGAGTGTGCTCCCTGGTGACAAACCTGTCAGTGGGATCGCTTTGCTGTGACATCACACAAGTTTTTTCTTTTATTTCTTCTCAGATGATAATAAACTGTGAGTCAGGGCTGTGTGCCCCTTTAAGTTTTCTTTGTCCCGTCTCAGCATGCTTTTCTTTTTCATGGTCAGTATGTGCCAAATGACCCACTGACAATCAGTGTTCCTGTGTCGTTTTCTCGTATAGTCTTTTTCTGCTAGTAATCATGAACCAACCAATCCAAATACTGTGCAAAAAATGTTTACGGCCACAACATCTCCACTATCACAGAACCTGTTGATTTCAGCTACAGAGATCATTACACTGGAAGAAAGTATTGCAAGCTGTACTTGTTGGTGTAGCATGTTTCTTTCAAGTTGCGAAGTGCTCACCTTGGAGCTTGGCCTGCTCTGAGATGCGGGTATAGTTGACGAGGGCCGCATTCTCCAGGCACTTTTTAATGATGGCACGCACCTCCTCAGGAGGTGCTGGAGTCATCACGTCCTTCATCAACACCTGCATGAGTTGAATACCATTGAACACATGCTATCCACATGCAGTGATGGACACTATAGAAACAGTAAGGCTGCTTTCACAAGGAGTGCCCTCTTGACTTTTACTGATGGATCGTATATACAAAATCTAGAGCATCATCTGTTGACAATGCTGCAAGTGTTATCTAACATCCCTCCCTGGGTGTTATAAGAGCTTCATGTTTTCAGAGTCTATCTTTATTTAATTCAAAGGACGTTTATTGCAGTGGGAGGAGACAATGTGGTCACCGGAAGGTGCAGATGCACTTCACGTCGGCTCCTGTGTCTACGAATGATTTCGCAGCAATAATCATCATGCAACCACATAAATTTGGTCTCAACGGAACCGCCTCCTCATCAGGAATCAGCAGATACTAACATCCAGGTGGGCCGACCCTTTTTAAAGACGATACTCTTTCTTGGGGACCTTCCACGCAAAAACTTTGGTCTGTCTGTACATTGGTCTGTTTGTCTACCGTTACTGCGAACCGGGTACTTTAAACAGCACTAGCCGATACCCCGAATGGCCGACCCCATCCGCAGCGCCCACCAATGTTGCTAAAGGATCAGCGTTCATACGTGTGTGATTGTCAATTAAAAGCAATTATTGCACATATCTGAGGCACCATAAGAACACATGTATATTCTGCATGTTCGTCTTTTACTAGGAAAGGCATACATAAGTAATTCTAAGGAACGTAGCGCTTATCACGCTGCACTGAACATGCAACGCTTGCACGAAGAAGCGAGTGTTTCCAACGCTTTGCTAAGACGACACGGTGGTGGCACCTACCCGTCGCCTTGCGTTCTACACCTTATCACCTCTGGGATGGGCGTGCCCGCCCGTCTCAGGGCCACGCGCTTTGTTTTCCAAAAATAACTGCCAGATGGCGCTCATGTCTCACGTGTGACGTGACTTCATGCGCTCGTTTGCCTCCGCTGCACGCTCGAGGCACTCTAACGCAGTGCCTCCGGAATACCATACACCAATTTTCTAGTGCGGAACATCAAATAAATGTTTTGTTCAGTCTCTCCACACGCAAAACTATCGTCTTTTGACGACATTTGCAGATTACATGCAGATACGAGGCCAATTTTTTCACCACTTTACGACCACTTTCTTGTGCCTCGTGCTACACAGAGAGGCGCAAGGCCAAGACGGGCTCCCAATGCGCGGGGCCGCACTAAACACTATGGATAGGGTTTCGCGGGCAGCCAGAGCATCTGGCGTCGACGCTGAGGCAAGTGAAATCAATTCTCAAGAAGGAAATGTTGAAATGCATGACGAATCGGCAGATGAAAAGGGATGGCATACTGTCAAAAGGTGACGCCGTCGCGGTGAGGACAAAAAATCACAGCATATGCACGCAGTGAATGATGATGAGTGGGGCGATGCGTCCATCAGCCCGTCCGTTCGTTATTGCTTTCGTTCGTCTGCGCGACCATCCATGCGTCCATCCATGCGTTCTTCTGTCTGTCCTTGCGCCCGTCCATTTGTCTGTCCGTCCGTCCGTGCGCCCATCTAGTGAACACTCCAAATACCGCCATCTCCCATCTGGCATCCTCGTGGCTACGTACGACAATGATGGAGGATAGACAGACCCACGCCCTAAGGAGCTTCGCTCCTAGAACAAGAAACGCGGCTTCGATAACGAACGCGATGGCAACGCTGATGCTGTGAATACGGGCAAGACGCAAACCAAAACCCAAGAGCTCGGCCGAATCGAGAAGAGGAGCAGGATGCCTAGGCTAACCTGCTGGTGACTATAAGGTAGTTATTAGACCCAGAGGAGGACTATGCGTGGCTCCCCAGCTCAGCCCGACGGAAATCAACAGTTGCGTCTACGAAGCAGCTGGCATAACATTCGAGGACAGAGAGTACGACGTCATCTGTCCCAACAAGATTTACAAAACCTTAGTGGTGAGCACTCTTGATCCTGATAGGGCTGACCAGTACAGACGAATCAAGCAGATCAACTCCATAGGCAAGAAGAAGAATGGCGGTTTGGGCTAGTTGGTTTGAATTCATGATAATAAGGGTTGCAGCGCGAGCACGAATGTACTAGAAGAAACAGACGAAAGTCGAGGTACGGAAGGCAAAGAGGACAACACGAGCGCTCGTGTTGTCCTCTTTGCCTTCCGTACCTCGACTTTCATCTGTTTCTTCTAGCACATTCGTGCTCGCGCTGCAACCCTTATTATCCATAGGCAAGGTATACAATGTGGGGGCGTACGAGACAGCACTTGAGGATACATTCAAGGGAGTCATCAGAGGGATTCCTCTGGAGAAAACGCCAAGAAATATTGTATTGGCTCTTGTTACGGCTAAAAACTCCATGGTCATCACTGCTAAGAGGCTGGGAAACACCAAGAATGTCATAGTGCTCTTCAGCGGTAACAGAGTCCCGACTATCGTGTGCTATGCCGGGGTCATCACACGCTGTATGCTCTGTGGGAAACGAATAGACTTTTGCAGGCAGTGTAACAGGATTGGCCACAGGGGGGATGTATGCCCCGACCCGACGAATAGACTCTGCCCTGGGTGTGGTGCCTTCAATCCACACAAAGACCACATGTGCAAACCCAAATGCCGGATGTGCGGCAAGGATCATGCCCCCACGGTCAGAAACTGCAAAGCCAAGTATAAGAAGCTCTTCATCGTGAAGAAAAGACAGTGGGCCAAGGCACAAGAAAACCGGAGACAAGCGACTTCTCCAGCAAAGTAAAATTCTCGCTCGAGGTCGAGATCAAGATCAAGAGAACGATGAGGGACGGGTCCACTTCTACAGGCTCCACCCCTGCTAGGTTGCGGTTCAGGTCCGGATTGAAGTCAAGGGATTCACCATGCACAGTGAGCTCAGCAAATAAAGTACGCAGGTCGTGACCGGCTGAGACTGGGGAGTTAACACACCAACGAGAAACTCGAGAAACTCAAAGCAGAAAATAACCAATTGAGAGAGATGATCGCACAGTTAAATGCCAAAATTGAGCAACTTTCCCGTGAGAGTAGAACCGAGAAACTCGAAAAATCCACTCCTATCATAATAGCAAATAGTGAAATTTTGATAGGGGAGGATCACATGGAGGTAACAACCCCCCTGCTCAAACGAAAGGCCGAAAGCCACAAGACAGTGGAATTGCAAGTCCCCAGACAAGATCTCGCTGAACAGAAAACATTAGATACTATTGAGAGGAAGGTAGATCAAATACCAGACATGATCCAATCATTAGTCGAGGCCACGACCAAAGCATCCATCAATATTGCAGCACTCACCGCCAGAGTCAAAACTATAAAACGATGTACTGATAGTGCAATGACAACAACACCTACTGTACATGCAGGAGCCAATGTGCAACCACAGCAACAGCACTCCTTGGATAATCCAACCGGGGCGACACCGATAGCTATTCTACGGAAAGCTACTTTTATCCCTCCGTCACACACGACTGAAGGTATGGGCAGACGAGGTGAGGGACCGTTCAAATTATGGCGATAGAATTGTAGGGGATACGGGAACAAAAGATACATTCTCCAACAATATATATAGCAGGGCAATCAACCGGACGTTCTTTTGCTTCAGGAAACACATGGGCTTGCCTAACTGGTGGGTTACCAATCCATAGGCACAGGACGGGTCGACAATGATAGAATTCTCACAACATTAGTTAGCAGAGAACTGAAGGTTATAACTTATAACCACATAATGATCACATAATGTCAGAAGTCATTCCTCGAAATTCAATGGCAACAAGTATTTTTATATTAAACATATATAGCAACCCGTCAAATTGGTGACAAAAATTCAATAATCCCTTCAGGAAAGCGGTTGTGGTAGCGGGAAACGCTGCACCTTTAGTGGGCGGAGACTTCAATGCTCCACACAAAGCTTGGGGCTACGGCTTCAATGGCCCCAAGGGCAAATATCTACGGCAAAGCATACGAAACGAGAACTTAACGTTAATCACTGAGCCCAGTGCAGACACGCGAATAGGTACGAGTGCCCAAAGGGACGCGACGTGAGATCTTACTATGACTAAAAACGCCTAGGCTGCGATGTGGCATAACACTTTCAACGATCTGGGTAGTGACCATAGAATCCTCGTAACGAGCATACTACGTGAAAACGATGCAACTCGGTCATCCAATTTAACGAAATAGCTTGTTGACTGGGACAAATTCAGAGAGATAAGACGACAGTCGTGTTCCCCACCCACATCGGGTATAAAGAGCTGATGTTAAAACAGAATAAGGAGCGCTCTACAGGCCACGCAGGAAGTGCAAATGGACCTTCCCATCGACAGGCTATACAGTAAACTTATACACCTATGGCAGGCGAAAGAATCACTTCAGGTGAGATAGAGGAAACAGAGCCACAAAAGAGGGTTACAAAAAAAGATCGCGCAACTAAACAGAGATATTGAGACTTATTGCAGGCAACTAAACGAGCAACAGTGATATTGTGTCTTGGTCGGAACATCTTCGTTGCCATTTGTTGTGTCTTGAATATTGACGAATGACAAAGGCCGTGGACGCCGCCATGAGCTTGAAAACCACACTGTCTTTACTTTCCCTTTCCGTCCTTGGCTTGGCTAGCCATTGGATTTTGGGACGTCTTAGCTCGGCTACACTACAAGTGGGAAGAGATGCGTAGAGACATGGGCAGGAAACTTGGAGGTTCCCAAACGTGGAAGTTGCTTCAATTCCCTTTGGACCCGACAAATACCAATATGGAACAGAGGCACACCATTCGCAAATCAACACACAATCACTAAGAAAACGAGGAGCAGTTAATCGAGGATCTAAAGGCTCTATACGTTCCACAGACCCCATCTGTGCAACACCCAGATTACTCAGGAGACGCCAATCCAACGCTAGACCAGCACGGTGGAGATAGGAGCGGTATTTCACAAATTATATCTTAAATCAGCTTTAGAGCCAGACAATGTAACGAACCAAAATACTCCAAAACTTAGACGAGGACA